GATGCTGTGAATATTATGAAATAAATGTAAGAACTCAAGTTAAGCCAAGTTCTTACAGCCACTCTAAGCTAGTATATTCGGACAAAAGAAACATATATTATATTAACAGAAGGTTTTCAGTCTTTTTATAATTCATGATAAATTATCCATTTTTTCATTGAATATATCTTAAAATTTAAAATCTTGTCAGTTTTGTGAAAAGGAAAACATTTGCAAAATGAACAATGTACAATTATATTTTAAAATATAAAAGCAATTTTTGGTTTTTTTTGTTTTTTTAATAATAAATTTATTTTTTATTGGTGTTCAATTTGCCAACATACAGAATAACACCCAGTGCTCATCCCGTCAAGTGCCCCCCCTCAGTGCCCGTCACCCATTCACCCCCACCCCTCGCCCTCCTCCCCTTCCACCACCCCTATAAAAGCAAATTTAATACTGTTCAAGGGGGAAGATAAAAGACAAATCAAGCAGCGACCCACTTTTAATAGTTAACTGCTGCTATGCTCATTTCTAGACTTTACGGTTAAGACAGAAAAAAAAATAGCCAGGTTTTTAAAAAGAATCCTCAAAAATGGCTCAAGAATAAGATAGAGGGAAGTTAAAAGAATTGATTATTCAACTGGACAGATCTCTAATGGAGGCTTGCTTTTAAACGATCTTTCAGTTTATGATATGCTTGTACTCAGGGAACAGAGGGCAGGTGTTTCTGACTTGTATAAGGGGTAATGGGCTTTAACTCTCCTCTGCTAGATTCACTTTACATATAAAGAAGTGTCCTGACCCTGAGGCTCATTAAATATTTGAATGTGCTCTGGAGTAGGTTACTGATCTCAGCCTCTGGAAGTTTTTCACTGCAGTGGGGTCTCAATCATCTGGGATATTGGAAGGCTTTTCTTTCTTTCAGTCACAAAAATAGGTTAGATGGCTTCACACCTTTCTTTTTCTTTCCTTTCTTTCTTCTTTTTCAAGATTTTATTTATTTGAGATCAGAGAGAATGAAAGAGAAAGCATGGTGGGGGGTGATTGGGCAGAGGAAGAGGAGAATCAGGTTCCCTGCTCAGCAGGGATCATGACCTGAGCCGAAGGCAGGTGCTTAACAGACTGAGCCACCTCGGTGCCCCTGTTTATTGATTTCTTAAGCTTCTGTGGTTCACATACTGTCATAAAATAGAAAGGGTATTTTGCTTCCTGTTAGGCAGGTATAGAAATGTGAATATTCAAGTCACTGAATTGCCATTTTAATATATCATAACAAATTATTTTTCACCAAGCTAATTGTACTATTATTATGCATGGTGTAAATAGGATATCAGGACTGGCATTGTTACAATTATCTTTGCAACATACATGCTTATAGTCATTGATCAGAATTTGTAAATGTTCCAAAGTTTAATATCATACTTAGGACAAATTATCAAGGGCAGTAACAGGATTCCACATATAAGGAAAGATATTTAACCTGGAACTTTCATTAAAACAATGTATGTTTAGTATATGCATATATATATATATATATATATATATATATATATATTTAAAGATTTTATTTATTTATTCATGAGAGACACAGAAAGAGAGAGGCAGAGACACAGGCAGAGAGAGAAGCGGGCTCCATGCAGGGAACCCAATGTGGGACTTGATTCCGGGACTCTGGGTTCTTGCCCTGAGCCTAAGGCAAATGCTCAACTGCTGAGCCACTCAGGCATCCCTGCATATGTATATGTTAAATACATACATACATATATATGGTAAATTGTAAAAAAGTAAATATTTGAATATCTCTTTTCCTTTAAGAGTGGTTTTTTCATCCTTAGTTCGGACAATAAATGTCTTAAATATGAGATTTCTATGACTTATTCTGAAGAATAAATGCAGTGAATGAATAAGTAGAAGTAGGGACACCTAGATGGCTCAGAGGTATTTGCCTCTCTCTGTGTGTCTCTCATGAATAAATAAAGTATTTTAGAAAGAGAATAAGTAGAAGTAAAAAGAAATACTAACAGTCCTTTTCCTATTATTTTAGATTTGACTGAAAAAAAAAATATTTTATCTATACCAAGTGACCAATTCCCTACATATGCTGATGAATAGCTAGGGGGAAAATATATTTGTGAATTGAAAAGAAAAATCGGAAAATTTTCAAGTATGCTTTCATAATTCCCAGACGTGTATAGAATACATCATAAAGCATAGAGATTCGATGTATATGACCCATTGTCTCTAGCCCGAAATGCTTCAGCAAGCGCATAGCCATAACAGTTAATGCTGTGGAATAACTGTCCTTGGCACTGACTCTAAAATGTAATAACATTGCTATGTGTGTGTGTGTGTGTGTGTGTGTATTTATACATATATAATATACATATATTTGTGTGCTACTTGTTCAGCATTAACCCAGACAGCCCTCAAAGATAATGAGTATTCAGTATTCAAACTCAGCTCTTAAAAGCCTTGAAACAAAATGTATGTGGCTATAACTTTAGTAATAATATTTATTTTCTCTAGTTTGTCTGGCAGTACTTCACATCTGGGAAATTTGCTTCAGAAACGGAGGAAATCTTTCCTCCTGATTCTACTTTGTTCTGACCTGTAATCATAGCCCTTATCACTTGTCCTCTTCAGATGGGCATTCCTGAGTTAACAGATAGGTAGGAGGAGGTAATTTAATAAAAGGCGATTGTATTATTCATACAACAGCAGGAATAGGTGCGCTTTAAATAAAAGCAGCACACATGCAACTCTAAGCAGTAATTAAAGTATGCATTTTAAGCTCATGTTTAGATTTAAGATAGCAAGCATAATGTGTGCTCAATTTCTGTTTTCTTAAAACTCTATTTTAATAATACAATTTCTTTTTCTATTTTGACTAAAACAAATGAACGCATAAGATCCATGCTAATAGCTTTTCCCATAAGTAGTCCTTTAACCTAATTAGAAATATTTTGCTGATTTAAATATGTATCAGGTTGACTAATTTCCACATTGTACAAAGATGCAGCTTTTCAGTATGTGAATTTTTACACAAAATAAGTTACTTTATAGGTTGAAGACAGGTCACTCTTGAGTTTCTTTTGTCCTTGTCCTTGAACTACTAAAAAGATGTTTCCTATAAATCAGTATTTTGAGAAAAAGCTTCATCCTGGAAGTAATATCACTAACATATTTTGAGAACACTAATATTGTTTATAGGGTTTTAATATCTCCTGAGTTTTCCATGAAAGCACAGGATTATGTCTTATGTAATTATTAATAGCGTTCCCTTTTACTCACATAATTGTTCAGTTTGGACAATAAATTATTTGATCACTGTAATTACTTGCCCAATTCATTTTATGAACTTGAATTTCTGTGGTGCTTAATTATTCTAATTTACTGAAGAATTTTAAATTCTGAGGGGTATAAACAAAATATATTCAAATCAGATATACTCAAGTTTATCATGAAACAGTATTTGAATTCAACAGCGTAGGAAAATAGGATTTAATTATTTAAAAAGGGCAGTATTATTACCAGGTAAGTTATAACTACCAGGGAGTTTTGTGTTGTAGCTAACTTGTTTTATAATTCATGATGCTATATAATATTACAAAACAAAATATGTTTTGATTGTTTTCAATACTAGTTACTATATAGAACAGGTATATAATCATTGTCACTTTATTTCTGTCAATGACGGTACCTGACTTTTACAATTTTAATTGACGTGTCTGCTAAACAGTAGCCTAGGGAAGCAATGTTTGATAGTCTGGTTCACAAAATGAGCTTCTGAAGAAAAATAAATGAGAGAATTAGGGAAAAAAATTAGGAAAAATATATAACCAAATAACCCACTTGAAATAAATGGAAATACCATAGAGGAGGAATTGAACTGACCACTATATTCTTACATTTGTGTAAAGGAACCCCAAAAAGAAACAAAAAAATCCAACTATTCACCAGATTGAAATAATTCAGTTATGCTATTTAGAGTAGTTCTTAATTCTTAATTGTCTCTCTCTCTCTCCCTCTCTCTCTATATATGTATATTATATATCATATATATAATTTTTATTACAATTGATTTTATACAACCAAAGTACCTTTTATCAAAATTGAACACAATTTTCAGTACATTTTTATTATATATCTATTGTGTGCCAGATTCTGACTGAGGGAATGCAGTTTCTGTTCTCATTGTGCTCATTGCCAAATATAAAGATTATGGATAGGTGGGAATAAATATCTATTATTATTATAAATAAATAAAATACTTAAAATAATAAAATCTAAATGATAGAATTTGGAAATTCTATTTCATAATTTAATGCATTTTATAAGACTGGGCCAAATTCAATAACTTTTTCTCTTTTCACCTTTACCTTATTTATAAGAAAACTGATTGCTTTTAGGGTATAAATTTATATATATTTTTTATTTTTCAGACATAAAAAGGTTTGATTTTTGCATAATCTCAAAGATGAGATAAAATAAACCTAGAGAATGTGAAGCACCCTTTAACTTTTTAACTACATAAGTATTTTCTGGAACAGTTTTCAGTGTATTATATATTGATTTAATATATATAACTTGACTTTATTGAACTAAACATATAGCCAGTTGTTCATAGGTATTATAAAGACTTGCTCTAGAATGTTTAAGGGCCATACATTTTTTCCCTATACTCTGATCATGCCTAAATAGTGAAGTGTAGGGATTGTCTTGTATGTCACTTAAAAATGTTAGTCTCCACATGACTGGTGGTCAGTATATAAAGTATACATCTCCCATGCAAGACTGATTTTTTAAAATATCAAAATTGTCATTTCCAGAAAGCCAAGCACCAGAATAACCTGACCATGAGAAACCAAGGTTAACACTGAAGTATTTTGACACTACATGGGTCTGTACAGGGACACAACTTATTTCCAACTGTATTTGTTTCTTTCACAATAACATGCAATTCTAAACTCCAAAACCCAGGCTCCTTTTCTTAGAGTATTTTTCTTTCTTTTTCACAGCACGGAAAAGGATATGCTAGTCAATTCTACAGGATTTACCTGAAGCAGCATGATTTGCACAAAGTCGACCAACAAAAGCATCAACTTTTCAACTTCATTATCTTGGCCATCCAGTTAGTTGTGTGTAACTGAGTATTAGATTGCCGGCGGAGTCATCGTGGCCAATTATAGGACCTGATTGCTCTCAGCAGGCCTGAGAAATGAGTTGAAATGTGCAGAACTGTAGAAACTTTAGAGGCAACTGATTTTGCCTCTCCGATCAGTGTGTGCCTGTTTACAGCACTATATATCTTTCTCTCTCCAAATGTCACTGAGCCCTTTAGATGTTTATATTCACCACGAGAAGCCAGTCATAAAGATAAAGGAAATTTGTGCATTATAAATGCAATATCACTGTTTTAAACTTGACTGTTTTATATTATTTTTGTGTGATCAAGTGTTCCCCAAACTATTCCAACTTTACAAGAGAGATTGTGATTATGTTCTTTTCACCTGTGGGTTATAAAAAATGTTGTATTCTGAAGACCCACAAAATATCAAAGACATTCTGTAGTTTATACACCGTGTTGCAAAGTGTTTACTGTACTATTTCAAAGCTTCTAAATAAATATAAAATATATATATTATATTATATAATTTTCCTAAAATGTGGTACAACTCAGTTGGTTTTTAAATGGATTCATACAGTCCACATCATATAGTAAAGTAAAAGGTAATTCAGGGTCCCAAAGATAAACTTATTAAGAAAAAAACAATCCTTAATAATTTCCTCCCAATTTTCATATCTTATTCAGCCCTGTTTTTCCTTGTTTAAAAGAAAATGAAGCTCTAAGCTACAAAATTTTGTCAAGAACTCGTACTGAATTTTCAATGCCAAAGATATAGCTGTCGATGTTATCAGAAGAGCACTGAACATGTAATATCAAAATAGCTAACAATCTACATTCTTTCGATTCTATTTCTATGGCTTTGAATTTAGAATCGTTTAAAGCTTTTATAAAGTATCTATAAATTCATCTGTATTTGTGGTTAGGAAAAAACAAAAACAAACACTGGGTGTCTGTACATTTTGTGATGTAAAACACGTCATTAAGATTACTATTTTAAGAGTCCTCAACCACATGACTCACACAGAATTTTATTTTACATAGTTTTGCATAGTTTGTGACTCCTAATAACACACAAATATCAAATTTATTTATAACTCTATATGAATATATAGAGATATGTTGATATCTGAACTGGTAAAGAGTAACTATAAGATACAAGGGATCTCTAAATTTAAAGTAAATAAATTTGGAGATAGAAGCAAGGTACATTATTGCTTCAGTATTATCTTACATGTGAAAGTTTTATCTCTTAAACATAGTCAGTGTTTTATTAATAAGAAACATCCTCATGAGTCAGCTTTGAAAGGTTAAGCTTGCCTCTTATTTTTGTCAATGAAGTTAATTATTAAATCCATTAAGATGTATTTTCTTTTCTTTTACCTATTTTTTTTCTTTTTTCCTGCTGTTGTTGATTGCTTAACTAAGAGAGATATTACGAGAGAAAAGAATTCTCATAGCTCCCCTCTCAAAAAGCCTTCAATATATCTGAATGTTTGCCCAATCCAAATCACAAATCAATTTGGCAATATTTACCTTCATCATCAAATGATCTTATGAATTCAGGATATTTTGAGCTGTGCTATATTATTAAAGAACAGATTAAAACTTAACACATAAGAAATGTTTCCCACCCACTCCGTTTTATGGTCACTTAAATGGGAATATTTTCCTTCTATTTAACATTAAAATGTATATGTATATTCATAAGTCCTTGATATGTGTATATTTGAGTGGCATTTTGTCATCACTCATTTGACTGTTATCAAATTATAGATATTAATATGTCATAATCCCAATCATCTTATATACTGAAATAATATATGTAATGTTCCAGCCTTTTGGGGACCCTTTGAAAATATATAAAACTAATCCATCATATATGACACAAAAAGCACATACATTCACATAGCTGCAGCAGTAACATTTTCTCAAACTTTTGGCACTACTACATTAATATTTTGAATGATAAACTATTTTAGTAAGGATATCTTTCTATATAATTTAGCTGGAAAAACGTCTGTTTGTTGTAATTACTTTTTAAACAAGAAAATGATTTTCTTGTTGAATCACTCTGCTTTAATTAAAACCTTTCATTCATCATTTTACAATTATGGGGGAAAACACACATCCATCTGCTTTATCACATTATGCATTAAAAATAAGATGATACTCACTTCAAATATTATAGTTATATTCATTCATGCAACTCTAAGAAAGTTTCTTTAATTATTTAGCCTTTTATGTCAATTTATATAATCTCCCTTGAACAAATGTCTTATGCCATATATTTATGCATTAGTTTTTTTTATATGTCATGGTAACAGTTCTCCTAATTTGCATTTAAATTCTTAAATTATATCGTTAATCTCCAAAAACAAACAACAAAAAACAAAGAAGTTTTACCTAATTTGGGGGAAAAGTAGAATTACTTAAAACAAAATACCAAATGTTTAGTTATTAATCAATTATCTATTGCATCCAGAATAAATCAGAAATTACAATAGAGTAAGGATATCACCTAGCAATTGGCTAAAATGTTATTTACCAATGATGAGGGACTCTAAAACAGAAAAATGCAATCCACTGATAATAAGGTGTCAAAAAAACACTTATTAGATTAGTATGAAAAGGAATTTTAAAATAGTTTTTCTGTTTAATCTAGTCATCCTAATATCCAATTTTACATCATTTTATAAATATCAAAGGAAAATAATATCTAAATTATTAGTCAATATTTCATAGGTAAATTATTTCCAAAATGAATAATCATGGCATTTACTCCTTGATAACATGGTTAGTTAAAAGTAGTAAAAATGTCAAACTATTTTCCTGTGGAAACAGTATCTTAATGTTTCAAAGGTATGTCAAACGACAATTTTTTAGAAATCTTTTATCCACATGTAAAATTCTAATTTTTACCTTGTGAACATAATTCTGTGAAATCATTTTAAATCCAAAATTTAAATACCACATCAGAATTACTTTGCAGACATAATGGTATCCCTGTAAGTGTATCATCTTTCTTGGGAAATATGAAGGAAATATGTACATTCTGTTTTTTGAAGATATTAAATGCAATGCCTTTATCAAACATTGCAAATAAGTGCTATAGTAGAAGATTTAAATATTTTCATTATTCATCCTCTTGCTTCATCTCTTAATAGTGTTATAATTTGCCAGCACATCTCCTGTAACGTAGAAACTCTCCTACTTCTCCGATAAAGGAGGAACAGAAACCCTCACAATTCTCAACATAAACTTTAATAACTGCATGTAAATTGTATCATTTCACCTTACCAAAGTATTTGCTGGAGTAAAGGTACTATTTAATATAATTACTCAGTCAGAATATTGCAAATGTTAGGCAGGATAATGAAAATTACTTACAGTACTGACTGATGAGAGAACTGTTAACTGTCATTGCATGTGGTTTTCTTTCACCCCCTCATATTTCTGTGTGTGCTTTGAATACCCGAGGAACTCAAAAATATTTAAAACATTGGTATACTTGATAATTTTTCTGAAAATCCTATATTTTTCATATTGCAATTTCTTGGGTTCTTTATCTTTTTCAACTCTAATTTTGTAGTGGTAAAGGCTTTGCACTTAACATCCTTTTTATGTTCCTTTTTAACAAGGAAAAACAGAAAATGACAAAATTCCATATTTTTTACACCATGGAATAGTAAAATTATTTTATATATTGTTAGCACTTCAAGGAATTACCCTCTGCTAGGTTGAACAAAATCCTTATACAGTAATTTGTGAAACTACTGTTCAATAGAGTTTTTTTTTTTCTTCTAAAACTTGGCATAGGTTTTAGATTATAGCATTCTATGAGAATGCTGGTAGATGGGTGCCGCCAGAGTATTGCAGGCAATAATATGACTAAAATTCTAATACTTTAGTGTGCATGCATGTATTTCTAATCACTGTTATTTTTTAAGTATTTGTAAAATTAGAAAAATGACTTTTATTTCTTGAAAACTTGTCACATGCTTAGTTTGAAGTTTTACACTCCAGATGTTTTTGAGTTGCATGAAAATTTTGCATTAATGATGCAAATATTAAAATTTCACATGAGACTCAAAAATGTCTGAATGCTAGAACTCAGACTTCCAATACATCCGTACATCATAGAGCTGAAAGTAAGCAGGGAATTTCAGCTCTAAACACATTTTCGAGACAGTTATCTGTGAGTGAAAACAGGGTATTATAACGAAAGATGAGTTTAAATCTTAACTATAGTGTTTGTTACTGTGAATGCTATAATAATACATAAGTAAAATGAGTGTAAATGTAATATATTATTTTATACTGCTGTATACATATGAAATAAATAAAACTAGGATACATATTATGCCATTTTTCCATGCATCGATCTTCCACTGACGTCTGTGGGAGCTTTGAATAAAAATCAGTGGCAAAATATGGCCCTAAGTTTAAAAACAACTAATGCTGATTTAGTAGTTTTAGTCTTAATATAACAGGTCTAAGGGGACATCTGTTCAAAACTGAGTCTCATTCGAAGAAACATATGCTAGGTTTAAAGGATTTCATGATATTTATACTTTTGAAAGTAGGCATTTAGTTCCATATGATTCTCATGATACCCACAATGAATATTTTAAATATATATTTTTCCCACCTAATGTTATATTTTGTTTTTAATTTTTTTGATTCGTAGTAATACCAAGGGTCCACAAGGAATGATATAGAAGTTGTACACAGGATATGAGTGCCTTCAAGCAATAAGAGGAAAACGTTTTATCTAAACTTTTAGAAAGAAATTATTTCATATTTAAAGTCAATGGAATCCTAAGAAAAAATAAAATACAGAAGGGTATCACTATTCAAGAAGAAAATATAAATTATAGATTTTTATAATGTAAGAATAATCTGAATGAATCTTGCAGAAATTTGCATTCTGAAACAGTTAAAGGTAATAGAAGAAACGTGCTTTGTAATTTCATATGTGGTTTACGTAACTGATTTTCTAGGGTTCAGACTATACATATCTGGACAGAAATTCATTTTGTGAAGAGACAAGGGATAGGACTAGAAATTTCTCTTATTTGGACATCGAATAAAGCCAACCCTACGGTGGAAAAGAAATAATTGAAATATGCAGGAATGATGATTCTCAATAAAATGTTGACAGCTATAACTACAAGTTACTTTTCTCCCCTAGACCTGTACCTCCTATTCCTCACTTTTACCCTTTCTAGGAATCATATCACAGACTCTTCTATTTAAGCACTATTATGAATTTTCAGACATAAAAATTAAATATTATTAATTACACACCTATATTAAGGCCCAACAATAAGGGGAGGTAAGAATGCCTAGTAGTAATATCTACCTTTATGAAAGTTCTAGTTTACTTTGAGAACCAAAGAAATTATAGGAAAATATTAAATAATTAAATGATCAAATAATTAAGTAATCAAAGTTTTGGTCAAAAACCAACTGTGGGTCACGAGAGTAATTCAATGTATTAAGATGAAAACCTAAAAACAAAACTATAAGTAA